TTTTAAGGTTATAAACTTAACAAGTTTGTGAGCAAGTTATAAATTGTATAAAACTAAATTAAAACGAACAATTTAAGTGTAGAATTATAATTTTATAGACAGAATCATACCTATCGATAAATGTTTATGCGACTGAAGTTAAAATAAATAATTCAACTCTACGATAATTAGTGTGATGAAAAATAAATTTTAGAACCAGTAACCGAAATTTACCTAATTTAGTAAATGTAATAGTGTAATAGATTTTATGTTATAAGTAATTCAGTTAAAGAAGTCGACTAGCAATATGTCCAAAAGTTGTCGATAACGGACGGCAAGTTTCGCCATCCATTTCCATAATTGCATTCGACCAAACTGAGCAATTTGATGGAAAACATTGTTAAATTCGGAACATTTGTAGAGCTAAGTCTTAATTTGTATTTCTAAATAAAATGTACACCAATCATACCAATATTATAAATGCAAAAGTTTAGATGGATGGATGGATGTTTGGTAGAGTTTATAGTCTAAACGGCTTAACGAATTTCAATGGAATTTGGTATAGACGGAGAGGATAGTCTGGAAAAACACAAAACACTTTTAATTTTTTTATTTTACCGACGGAGCCCCGGGCGAAAGCTGATTATTCATAAAGACACACGATTGCTCAAAAAGGAAATTACAAAACATCATTAGTTCACTATCGAAAGATTTACGGCACCATTAAATTCGGCAATGTTCAGTCATTTACAAAATTCATCAAAGGCCATAAAAGAGCGCCGTTAAAAGAATTGTACAATCCCTGATCAATAAATCGTTAACAGTATCTAGTGACATGAAAAATAGACTTTGTAATTAAAGTAAATGTAAAGTATTGATAAGACACAAATAATAACTATCACTTTTAGAGAGGGCTCACCTTTGACTAAACGCACAAATATGCGATTGTCGATTATTTGCAGCCAATTCAACTGTTTAGTTACAACTAAAAATATAAGCTAAACGTAATCAAAGTGCGACTAAACAGTTATGCGTTAGTGTAGTTAAATATCTGCTCACGCTCTTAACGTTCAACGTAATTTTTTTTTAATGTTAATCGAAGGACTGTTTTCTTTGTCATTTTGTATTATAAGTGACAACATTGTAGAATTTTTTACCTCACTTTTGGGCTCTGAATCAAGTATTATTTTTATAGGCTGCTAGAGTTATGTTGTGCTTGTATTTTATTAAACTTTGTAGTGTGAACCTTTTCCAAACACTCATGTCTTATCTCATGAAGGATACCAACTTCAAGTTAAGCCTATTTATTTATGGGCTTGAGTTGGGTCACCACTTCAACCTTTTTTCATACTTCCTGTAACCATCTAATGGATATTTGCGAAGGCTTGTTCCATTTACTATGAGGGCTTTCAACTCTTCCGTTTTCTTGAGGTTTCAAGTATGAGGTATGTTCTGGCCAATTTCTCCTTTGTGTTTTGTATTATACTAATATTACGAAAATACCTAAATCTTTGTAAGAATAGTAAGAATAGTATTTGCTAGTGTATTCTTTTTGTTATTTCTGTTTTTATACAATTGTTCCAATACTATTATTCTAATAATATTTCGTTATTCTTACATTATGGTAAAATTTTGTTGCATCAAGAGATGACGCTGTCTACTTTAGTAACAAAATAATAATGTGCCCAGCGGGCAAACTGGGACGCGTTTAAGTTTTCTTTCTGAGAAAATATTTTCTTCCCAAATTGAAAGTTATTTCCAGTACTTTTTCCATTCCCCACTTCCTCGCGACAAACCGCTTTCGACTTTAATGATTTTCAAATATGTTGTCGTTGAATTAACTTTTTACCGTTGGCAAATTACCTCAAATAAAACCTTGATCTATAAGTTAGTAATTAGGTATCTACTTATATCTTTTACCTCTGATCAACCAGTGTGGTCAATTCGCTAATTTTATAACCTTTCTATATGGTTAAATTTATAACTTGCAGTGTTTTTGTAATTCGAGAAGAAATTTACAGTACGCACTTATTGCTATTACTGCTCAGAAGGCGCATTTGTTTTAATTTGTCTACAAGAAAACGTTTCAAAGACGAAAGTAAACTACAGTTTACTTAAAATAATACCATCATTTTTTCTAGAAAAGGAATCTATGTAAGTGTAAACAAAGAACGTGTTACTTGAAGGACAATCTAAAGAAGCAGTTCTCAATATTTATCTGTATCTCTATACTTTAATTGTAAAACAAATATCGTCAGATTGGTGTTTTGCAGTTTTTTATATAACTTAAAAAAATTCATAATACATACTTATTACTGTTGTTTGTTGTTACTCAACAAAAGTCAATTAAAAAATTATACATGTCAGAGTAACGAACACTAACAAAGTAAATGAATTACAGAGCTCAGCAATTAAACTTTAAGGCGTTAATTTGTTGAAAATTCTGCTTATTGACTTAAAATGCAAGTCAATTTCATGGACGTTCATGATCCCTTGTTGTTCTCGCCGCTCGTATGCCCTCTTCTCTATTTAAAATACTCCTATTCAATACCACGACAATTATTATTAAAATGGATTCTCTTCTTAACTTAAATAACACTTAAATACAGTACTAAGCTTTAGATACGTGGTAGATGTCTTTAGTTTTGGTTGAGCCCCTTTTAACAAAATTAATCTATCCGTAATACATATCAAGGTTTACGTTACCTTGGCTTTCGTTTTAGGGCCTTACTTAAATATAAAAAAATATTACGCGGTTCGTCTGCAATAATACCTAATACTCTTGAATCTAAAGCCTCTTTACCCCAATATACACCACTATCGTAGATATCTTTCCTTTGCTATATTTTCAGTAAAATATAAAAGTACGTATTTAGTACTATTTTGATGGCCGAATACTGTAATGAACACATGGCTTTCATAACTTCTATTACTGTCTCACAGATGTCAAAATTTTAATGTAATCTTGAGTATAAGCGTTGCTTTGTCATTTAAGACGCTGTTAAATATTTAAATGTCGTTTCAAAATTCTGCCGTAACTTAGCCATATAATGCAATAAAGCTATTAATTTAATGTCATTAAAGCTTTAGTCTAAATAGGCTTATTACAGGCTAAATAGAAAACTTCAGTTCAGCCTGAAGTATCGGCTAACTTTAGTTTCTGCTAATTAGGTTGATAAATTAAAATGAAAGCATAAATTAGTTGCTTAAACGAAAATGCTTTTCATCTAACCCTTTCAAAAGTTTAAAAGCCAAGTAAGGGTTTCCTTGGCGAGATTAAACGCAAAGAAGTAAGGTCGAGTAAAAAATTAATTAGTGAAAGCGGCCACCACTAAAATGAGTTTATTTTAGAACTTTCCACGGTTACTTCTAAGTTTGAAATTGAATTTTTTTATGCAAGCAGAGTGTGAGTACTTTTCATCAATTTATAAAAAGACGTTAATATTAAACAATGTTACTATTTACTCCTTGGGTCCCACACCGGTGTGCAATGACGTAAATAGTAACATTAATAATGCCTGGTTGAAATTTGGACAGTAACGCTGGCCAGGCATAAATTGTATGTACTTACTAGCGCCAGTTAATGTTATGTTATGCCAGTCCAGTCTTTCAGAGCTACTATTCAACTGTACTGGGTAAGTGTCAACCATTTTTTAGGGTAGGAGCTATATGGTTCTATATTTTGTAATGTTTTTCATCAGACCATTAATTTGTAGTAACTTCTGTTATATTTTTCCTTATGTTGTATAAAATTTTGATGTTATTTTGAATTGTGCAAACACGCTTCACATTTAACTAATCATAATTTGGAAGATGAATTCAAAAATCTACAGCAGATAATAACAACAACATGCGTATGTTAGCCAATAAGAACGAACTTATTCAAATAACATAAAAGTTAACATACAAGGTTAACTTTGATAACGATATCTGAATGACGTTAATTAATTATGTTAAATTAATAACCATAATTATTGAATTATTAAATTATTTATTCCAAAATAATGTAATAGCTTATCATGATGGACCGGAAACGGACTTAACTCAAAGTAAGCATTAGGGATGTGGCACATTGAATAAAATTATAGTATTTTTAAAAACATTCGTTTGCTAAATACTATACAAGTAACGCTTTATTTGTGGTTATGATATTAAATTGTAAATCACAATCTAAAAATAAATTAGAAGATGCTAACAATGTTTCATTCTTATTGTAATTTATTTTGCAGCTTGTCTTAAATTTAACATTTTCTTGTCATGGTAAAATATATTTTAAGGTTAGTTATTATAATGCTACTGAGGTATATAGGTCAAGTGTTGAACGCTGTTGCGCGTGACATTATGTCGTCTTCGAGTTAGTCGGTTATAAGACAGTGTTATCTCCCAGTTGCGTGGTGGTGGACGTGCGTAAGTCGGCCGCCACACCCCCGGTTCTTCTGACTGTATGGGGTGCGCGCGCATACTTACCCCTAGTAAGGGTTGGATCACACTAACGATTTTGTAGTACAGAAATAATGTTGATAAACGAAGTTATTTTTTATAAGTTAATTTGGAAGTTAACATTGTTTTATTACTTAAATTTTTACTGTTAGGGTAGCTTCAAGTTTATTCTACTTTCACTTATGCGTAAGAAATATACTAAAAGCACATTTTTGTCGATTTTTTTTTATAAAAAGTACATGATATACTATCAAAAACATGTTAATTTAAAACACATTCTCGTTAAGTAATCAATAGACTTGGACTCGAATTCATTCAACCTTTTCCGTCTGAATCTGGGCTAAGAGTTATAAACAAATATGTATTTCATATCTAAAAAACAATAACTATAGTAGCATGTAAACGTTGCTTAAGTTATGTGTTGGTGTGTTGCGTTGGAAAAATCTGTAGCTAGAATCAGCAGCGCGGCGCCACGGTACAGTCGCCGAAACTAAACGTCACGCGTGCACTGTAAGCGCCATCTAGTCTCGCAGATAGTACAACTTCTCGTCTCACACCTGCCCGCCGATCGCGCGACCGCGACATTCGCCGTCGCGTTCGTACCGCTGGCACGTAAAAGTAACCTACAAACGTTTGTGAATTAACTAATAATACAAATGTTGCTTGTATTTTTACAATAAAACGGTGTTATTACTTATTTAGTGAAATACACATTTAACTGAAGTGATACAACTGAAGGATCATATTGGATTTAATTATAAAGTGTTACAACACAGTGAATTTGGCGAAATCAAAAGTTTCTAAGGACAAAATGTTCATTTTGGTGGGCTGTCATCGGGCAGCCCCCAAATATTGTGGAAAGATGTGGTGGTATATTTTATTTAGTGTATTGTTTACAAAGACATTTGCAGTGACGGGTTCTAATATTACTACACTTTCTTCCAGCAGTAAGTATTTATTTACTTCTTAATTTATTCATTTAAGAATTTACAAGAAACATTCGACATATAATGTTAATAATAAAATAATAGTAATAAATGTCCAGTAACATTTAATAAAGTATTTTTTGTTTTAATTTACGTTTTGTATCATCTGTTTTATTTTACCTGTGTTCGCAGTCCCTTCTATTTTTTCGTTCCTCGTAATTTATTTATATTACAAACGGGTTTCTTACGTATGCACGTGGTCGTAACTTGTTTATTATAGAATGTGTGCCTTGTTTACAATATTAGTTTGCGCAATCGGTTTAACGTTAAAAGTGCGAGACAATTACATTTGTTCTATTAGTTTTTTGCGATGCTAACGGCGACAATGGTTATGGCAATTCGGTACGTAATTTCTCTCGCTTAAGGTTTACATGTATGTAATGTAACTAGATGATTCACGTGTCAGATCTTAGATAAGTGATAAAGTTAATAAACTACGCCATTTCAAGGTCGTTACAGTTTACAATAATTCTGATTGGATGGCGTATGTCACCTGTTTATTTTATTTTGCATATCTTGTTCGATAGCTACTTGTTTAATTCACAGTTATGTTTTAATTTTTGTTTTGTATGTTGTTACTTTTTGTACAGAATGTATAGTGTTATGCGGATGCGGGTTAGTGCAAATACACCATTACACATGATATGCATAAACACAATCTCTTCCTGTGCCAAAACACCGAAATAGACATACAAACAACCGTATCTGACTTTAGACTTTAAATTTCACCGAAATAGTACAAAGTTCAATAATAATGGCAAGAAGCCAGCTAAACACTAATTTAGTTCATTCATTTAATTTAAAACTACCTAGAAGATTGATTTGGGTATCAAACATATTTCATAATTGACTAAAACTGATTCATCTTGGGTGGAAGAATTGTGACCATCTAGAAACCCCACAAAGAGACCGGCGTCAAGCAGAAATTTCATGTCGTTACAAGGGATTTTTTCATGTTAGTTGTCTAGACATTTACCTGTCGCTCTAATCCTTTCTCGTTCCTTCATTTTTAACTTTTATACTTCTGTAGTAATATTAGTTAAGAATACAAGTGGATCAAATTTAGAAGAATACAAAATACCCAAAACCAAAATAGGTTTTTGGGTATTCTATGGGTTGTGGTAACAGTTTATCAGGATATGTAATATTTAACAAAAATACATAAAAGTCATATTCAAAATGAAAGTAAATTGTAGTTGTAACGAGCATTTGTGAAGCGATTTAGCGGCGCTAAACTGTTGGCTAGTGGGACTCCATAAACGTGGCTATCTCAATTTTGGCGAGCCGCAGCTGACGCGACGCTCATAAAAGTGCCGTTGATGAAAAGAGCACAATCGCATTGTGAGACTATAAAACGGGCTTTTGTACGCTAAAAGAAACCATTATGTGAAAAATGAAAAAGGTATCACACTTGTCATGACCGGACTTTATCGTAAATTCGTTCGATTTTGGGCGTTAGATGAATGGTCAAACCTAAACTATTGGTCCCCAACTTATTTATTTCATGACCTAATTGTTACGAAAATCTAATGTTTAAAATGATACATCACAGAATTTTGTTCAATCCATTAACAAAGTATTTTTACAATGATTGGATTGTAGTTAATCGTTGCTTCAGTTTGAAAAACATTGACCTAATCGGAACATTTGTCATAGCATAATAATAGACTAAATAGTCTGTTCTTAGAAGTTTAAAGGACTATTCATAATGATGGTCGAAATATATTGCACAATATGTGATGACTCATTTTAAAACAAAACAGACTTTTATTCCGAAAAAACTCTAATAGAATGTAAACTATATGCGTTGAAAGTGGTAATTTTCAGTATAGAAACCCGTACTGAGAAACTTTGCCGATAGCATTCACTGTATTTATTTTTAAACATGATTCAGTGAAATGTACATTGACAGACCAGATAAGAGCGGATGGTTTTAATTGTTGACATAAAAAACATTGCGAATCTACAACATTTAGTACCGTCATTAGTTGGTGTAACGATAGATGCTGTTTTTTACCTATGTATGTGGATAAAACTGATTACTGTGTTAAAACTACCGCAAAGAAGTAACATAAAGTTGTAATTCAGCTTGGAAGGAAGAAACTGCTCAATCATGACTCAACAGTCCAGAAATTTTATAGGTTACTCATCAATGACAAACATCTTATTTTTGTCTTAGAACCGATCATGTCCATTTACAAGCAAACCGCATTACATTTGCTATGAACTTTAATTTATCTTTAGTTACAGTTACAGAAAATGTTTAAACATTATTCACGAACTTGATGAATTTATAAAAAAATTGGATTTCAATTTTGACAAGAAACTGATAAAAGCGAGCGTGTAACTGATCATTAGAAATTGCGCCTGTTTAGGACTGTTACATTATGTTTAAAAGAAAACAACTTTTAAAAGCGAAATCCTCAATCATAAAATGAGATGAAAATGATAAAAGATGCAGGGCGAGAATTAGAAGGTAAACCAGAAAACTTTTAAGAGGAGAAAACGTTAATACTCATGTAAATCCTTATGAAGTAATCAAAATTGGAACAAGTTTAAAACAAAAGAAGCAATTTAGTGAGTTCACAGATACAAATTAATAATTATTTAATGAATCCTTAGCAATTAACAGAAAGTTTAACGCTATTAAGAAACTTTATCGTTGGAAGTTCTAAGCATGTGTTCCGTGAATAATGTTATAATGTAAAAATTTATATTTGTACGTACTTACGCAATTTAAAATTCAACGCAAATTTAATTAAATAGATTTTGATTGAATCCATTCATGGTGGGTAAGAAGAAAAATGTTGTTATCGCGATTATTTCTAAAAATACTTCAATACGCAATATTGTGCAAACTTTACTAGAAAAAAATAATTATTCCCATATTCGTGGAATTGGCCTGGTTTATCGGCACTGTAAAATAACAAAATGTCTTGAACGTGCTAATTATATCCATCACATGCTTGGGAATGAGTATACTATTTTGTTACGTCATAACAAATGACCATAACTTTTCAACTAATAAACCAACTTAAGAACCAATACAATTTAGAAATGACCTTTGTACTACATTAGGTTGATTGTCATTAAGCCCTATTGTTACTGCTGTATGGACGATACGGACAGTCATTCGACAAACGAGGGGTAGAATGAAGACATTGCGAGAACTATATTTATCTGTTATTCAATTGTAGACTTTTACTTCATCCACTTAAGTCCGAATTTTCTGTAACTGTGTTGAATGTATCAGCTGCTCTTTTAGGAATGGGCAATTGATTTGAAGCATGTACTAATTGCGAGCGAAGTATTGAAGTGCGTAGTCGAAATGAACTTAGTTTGTCTTTGATGTATTCGTATTGTCTTATTGTTTGTGGTTTTATTTTAGAAATTGTATTAATAATAATAATAATAACAATCATGGACGAAGTCATCGTAACGAATAACTACCGGAAACATATCCTAAAGGATGGTACGACTGACATTTGTCGGGCATGTCGTCGGCCTGGTGAGTCTATTAGACATATCGTTTCCGGTTGTTCTCGCCTTGCGGACGGTGCATACTTGCATAGACATAACCAAGTGGCCAAGATTATCCATCAGCAACTTGCCCTTAAATATGCTCTTGTGGAATCTGAGGTACCATATTACCAATATCAGCCTACACCAGTTCTGGAAAATAGCCGTATCACGATCTACTGGGACCGATCTATTATTACGGACAGGACTATTGCTGCCAATAGACCTGATATAGTAATAATAGATCGGTCTGAGAGTTGTGTAATGTTAGTCGATGTCACTATCCCACATGACGAGAATCTCGTGAAAGCCGAAAATGAAAAGCTATTAAAATATTTGGATTTGGCTCACGAGATTACCGCCATGTGGCGTATGAAATCGACTACCATTATTCCGATAGTCGTTTCGGCACACGGGCTGATAGCGAAGAGCTTCGACCAACACCTCAAGAAGCTCTCGCTAGACAGTTGGATTAAGGGCCCGATTCAAAAGGCGGTTATTTTAGAAACCGCACGACTAGTGAGGAGGTTCCTGTCTCTGCAGCCCTGACCACTGGTTGCTTGAGTCATCGGATTCCGCAGCCGGTGGTGCTCTATTTTTTTATATAATATGTTTTATTTTGTTATTTTTTTAAGAAAATCATGTGAAATATATTATATATGAAAATAAGAAAATAAAGATGTGAGATAATAATAATAATAATCATTTATTTCAGACATCAAAGACTGCTGAGTATTGACTGCTTCTTTTTCGCCAAAATATATTTTCCCTTTATCGGGTAAATTTTTCTTTAATTTACTTTGTTAGGCCTGAATTTGTGTCGACGTTTGGATGTAAAGGCCTTCGTTAAGCTGATCTATGACATTCGTCTAAAAATTATAGTTTTTTTTTCAACTTGCAGATTGTTACAGTGATCAAATTTCGATTACTGGTTATCATTAAACCTAACCATCAACGTTAAAATAAGCTGTATAAAAAAAAAACAGAATTTATTAAGTCTACTACAGATCGCCGACTTTGTTTGTTTAGAAAGCAAAGATGAATGTTTTTGTTCGTACCCTTTATAATGGAAAGCACGATTCTTGTCACAGCGTGTCTGATCAATTGACAACAAAAGTTTATACTTTGGAAGCGAGTTGCGAGAAATAAAACCAGTATCATTTATATTTTTTTTAAACTGCACTTATTATAGGTTCTTTTTTGTTGTCACAAAATGTAGCTGCAACAGCAATTAAATAAATAACGTTTACAATAAAGATTAACATTTTACCTCACCGAGGAAATGTTATTGTTAAAGGTTTTATACGAGTAATCGTTCATTAAAGAAAAGAGATAAAAAAAATGTTTATTGTATGAAACTAGCTATCAGCTAGTGGTCAGTCACGTATTTCAAGGATCGTGTTCCAATAAAATAAAAACCATGCACATTTCTCACATTAAAATCTTTGTTATTTTGATAACTGAAGTAAGTTATTAACGCATTTGTTTTAAGTTGAACTTTATTGTATCGGTATTAATAATTAAACCTCTGGAAATACAGACGTTTCAAAAATGAGCAACTAACGAGTATAGTTAAGCGGACCTTAATTTGCATACAAATTGGCTTCGGTCAGGATAAACGCTCCATTTGTATTCAACCACAGGATCCCGGCTCAGTGGCTGAGTACTATTTATCCAGTTTCGGATTTGAATCGCCCGCGTCGTCTTCTGTTAATCGATACAGCTTCGATATCTTCTCGATCGTCTTTTGTTCCTTGCTACTTAAACTTTTTAATATTGATTTGAAGCGACACATTTAAAGGTATGTAAACTACAAGTTCTAAACCATACGAGTACATCAATTTATTTCTGTAGGATTTTTTTTTCTTTTTCTTTTTAATGGTCTATTCAGTCAGTATAAGATATCACAGATAGTAAAGTTGTGTGCTCAGCTTGTTATTGACTTTTTTCGTTTTGACCTGATAACGAGTAACTTCCGGTCAATGAACTGTTTCAACAAAGCTTAAAGTAAACTCGTTGATGAGCTGTTCCTCTTATCAGAATTAATGTAAATAAAATATAATAGAATTTCTCCTTAATTCTTTGTTTTAACATAACTGTACCTGACAAAGATAACATCGGACCATCAAACAAAAAGGACAAATCCCAAGTGACTGGAACGTTGTATTTGTAAAATATTGCCATATCAAGTTGAAAGCTATCCAAAGAAAAAGTCATTCATAAGCATTTTGTACTATTTGTTTAAAAAATAGACTACAGAATTTGTTTCTAACCATGTTTTCTTAATAGCATACAAAACTTGTATAAAAAGAAACGGTTTACTCTTTTCACTTTCATCACATAATACAAGGGGGACTGGTTCACCTCAAAATTATTCCTTATTCATCACTATCGGCCTATTTCCTTCTCGAACCAAGATAAGATGTGTATTCTAGGAATTTTCTTAGCCTGCGTGTGGTCGGATTGTTTAAAAAAATCTACCTGTTAATGGTTCTCATTACCCAACTTAGCAAGCGATCTATCCATTTTTGTACTAGCTATTGATATAAATGCATTCAAATAAACCATCGATCGAACAATAGGGTTGTTTCAGGTGATAAAACTACATAATGCATTTATTTTGTGGTATTAAAATGTTTTCTCATCCATCAACAATTTTATAATGGAATATGCAAAGAGTATTTTAAATGATTTTCACAAAGTTCATTGTTGGTAGGCGTTTAATCAAAAAATGTATTTTGATTGACATTTTTGTTCAATGGCCCTTCATACACAAATGGCGTGGTCTGGGAGATACGAGGGCGCTTGTACAGATTGGATGCCGTACGCCCGTCACCAACCGTCACCAGCCCCATAAGTGCTCTCCATCTAAAATGTAATGAAATTTAATTAGTGTCCCTTTCATTGAAGGCACTTTACTCATAAAAGAGCTAATTTATTTCACTTAATTACCTATAATGGAATTTTATACCTCTGTGATTCAATATTTTGTTTAATAATTGATATATCTCATTTGTACGTAAATTGTCTGCAACATAATTTTTGATTTTCACTTACGTTCATTGTTACCCCTTTTTTAATTATTTGATACTAGCTTTCGCCCGCGACTCCGTCCGCGTGGAATTGAAAAAACAAAAGGGAATAGCCTATGTGTTCTTCCGTACTATCCTCTAAATCTATGCCAAATTTCATCGAAATCCGTTCAGCCGTTTAAGCTACAAACTAACTAACATCCATCCATCCATCCATCTAAACTATCATATCTAACTAATATTATAATATTATAATAATGTATGGATGGATGGATGTTTGTAAGAGTTTGTAGCCTAAACGAATCAACGGGTTTCGATGAAACTTGGTATGGATGTAGAGGATAGTCTGGAAGAACACATAGGCTACATACTTTTTTTTTTAATTCCACGCGGACGGAGTCGTGGGGAAAAGCTAGTTTATAATATTAGTAAGATTAATTGAACACGTTTTGTAGTAAGAAAATAAACGCCACGTTTCTTGCTATGAAATATTCATCTACGTTTTTACATCAAGTGTTACGTATGAATTTACATTTTCAACAAAAATAGTTCTTATTATGCCACAAATATATTGTTAAACTAGTACCTTTCTCATTGTTAGTAATCTTAAAATTACAAACACAATTTCTCAAATACATAATAAACCCGTTTTACATTTATAGCATGTTATTCGATGAAATTGTAAATCATTGCAATGGACCGAGTTGCCTCCACTATGAAATTGGATCGGACTCCACGAATATTACCGCATAAATCAAGCCCCAAAAGATAGGCCGGGCGTTGTATTGCCCGTTCTTGACTTCTCGTGTCCATTACGTAATGGACTTATAAAGGCCTGTTTAGGATCATGACAATATACGTCGAATTGTATTCTTCACGTATTATAGCCCGAGTTGAGATATTGCTCAAGTTTGTTCGACGATTTTCGTTATTGTACTCAATATGTATTGTGTTTGTTAGATGAAAAGTTAGACCACTTTCCTATTTACTTTTGAAGGATATCAGATTACTCTTACACACTCAGTAGCTGTTAGCTATTTATTCAGAAATGTAACAAGTTGCAGTTAATTTTAAAAACGTGATTTTAGTTACTTAAGTTGAGACCAATGTGCAATTTTTTTAATTTCAAAGTCATATACTGTGCATGAATTGGTTTTAATGTTTGTATTACATGTTAACGATATTCGTAGGTGGACAATACAAAGCAGCATTCAAATGTAATATCATGTGATTATCAAATGAATAGTTCTTTATGTCCTATCAATGCCACTTTATACTGTATTGCATGTTTCAAAGTTTATGACGGCTCGTGGTTAACTGCAAGCGTGTTAGTTGGTTACCAGATCCGTCCACTAGCGGTGAATAACAGTGTTTGCAGTGGTATTCCTCCTCACACCTGCATTGTGTTTTGCGTAGCGTCTTGAGAGTAATTCCAAGCAACCGTAAAGTTTGAATGCTAGTATACTTTACTCACGCGTACTACGTGACTTTATTGTCGAGATAATTGATCTCGTACAATGTATTCATAGACATAATTGTTTTAATTAAGAGGGAAACTGTCTAAAATTAAAGCATAAACGGAATTTCATTTACTTCCAAATATTCATTGTAACGTTAGTTTACAAACTATCTTTACATGTTTGTTTCCCTTGTAACATGTAACAAAACAGCTGTGTCAATGTAAGTGAATAATGTTTTACTTTTTTATTACAGAGGTGTGCTCGCAAAAGCAATTCCAATGTGCGAACGGGAAGTGCATACCGATATCGTGGTTGTGTGAAGGAGACAACGATTGTGGCGACAACTCAGATGAAAATATTGAGGAATGCAAAAAAGGTATGTTTGTTTTTATAAACCTTTTACTTGTTTTCAATTATGTAGAAGGAACTTACTAATTTGTATTTGTAAGTTCTCTAGTCTTATCTCCGTTAATGTAATCCATTTTTCATAATTTTAGCAATACTAAATTTAATGCTAGTTTTAAACAATTAATGTAATTGTTACTGGCGATATTAATTTAACACTGCACTAGAGATCTCGCCAGGAATGCGCGGGAATAACCCAATCCGTCTCATGTCATTGACAGCTGTCAGCTAGGGACGTGACGTTTATGCCGACAATCTAGTGTTGCATCAATTCTAGAGCACTGTACTAATTTTCTTCTTAACACTAGATACTTTATTATTTAATTAAATATAAGTACAGTCGTTTTCTTTCGCGGTATTGCAATTACAGTAAAATGTTTTGCTTGTTACTTACATTATAAGTGCCGCAATCGTGTCATAGAATAAACACCGAGATTCAAATGTGAAAATATTATGAACTCCCTTTGAATAGCATGGGGTTTTGTTTACTCCTTGTTTATCGGTGACTTTGATTAAAGTTTAAAACATCTGCCAACAAAACAAAAATTCGTCTATCGACCTTTAAATCTGTCGACTCTTTGAGCGACCGCGAACAAAAGCGTCCCGTATTGACTACCCATTAATATTTATTGAACGAAATATCTTTCGAAACTCAATGATCTCCTCATAATTTAACATCAATTTGACTTACAGTTGCTCGATAAATTTAATTTGTTGTAACAACATAAAATAATTGTTTAATTTATTTAAACAATATATTAACATTTACGTAATTTGAATTTCAAAGTGACGGCGTAATTTAGACAAGTTACTTTACATTTATTTTGCCAATATTGAATTTATTAAATAAATATTTACATATAACTTAAATTATTTACCTATTCGTCCAATGAATACATTTAAAGCCGGGGAAATTCTCGTCTTTTGGTAAGAGAAGTCGGTTAAAAATGTGACTCTGGAATTTTTTTACAAAACAATTTGTGTGATTGTAAATTTTTATTCTTATTTTATGAAACCATAGAACATTATTAGATATTTTGTTTTCATTGTTGATTGGTATTTGTCTTCTTTATTGATGCGAGATGAGAGTAGGCGACGCGGCGGCGCCCAGCGTGTCATATTGCGCATGCGTCGACAACACTAAAGGATTATGACGTGTGATTCCCAGTAATAAAACACTTCGCTACGAATAGCGATTACAAACTATATCATACCCTCGAGTATTCAATATGAAATACGCGTCGTTTGGAAACGTGGGAGTTCCTACTCAGACAAGTTATTCACATGAACTATTTATGGTATGTTTGTAACATTATCTTGGCTTAAAGTGCCTCAAAGAACTTTGACAGCTATTGACAAAGAACTGATATAGGATATAACTAAATGTGGATATCTGTTTACTATATTGTTCCATTTAAATAAATTTACGTCGTAAAGTCCTTTCTCAAATGCCATTTTTCTCTGATCTCTCAGTTCCTACCGTAGCAAATAATTGATGAATTAAAAAGGCGTTTCAAACGGGAGCAAAATTGCACACTTTAGCGAATCTTTCCGAAACAGATAAATTCCCGGAGGGGAGGATCGTGATTCAGCCGAATCCTGTCGTTTGCGTGGCGGCGGCGTAATGAAACTTTTCCCGTTCGGATGGAGGCTGTTTCGTTTATCTTGATTACGAACAGCGTCAGTCCAACTGTCTAATATCTGAACCCGTCGGAACGCCCCAATGGATTGTGAATACGTAAACTGTGCAAAATCCGCTGTATTGACAATTAATTGAAAGTCGAAGAAATTTTATCCACGATTTATTGAAAAAAAAAAAAAAGCAACCTATTAATAAATTCGAGGATGTTCAATACTTAAATGTTCAAAACTTTTTGCGATTGGTTCTTAATGATTGATTGTCATATGTTAATTCAGTCAGTTCATGAATAGTTAAGTTAATAAGTTTTACGTCATCGTATATGACGCGACTTTTGTTAGTAATATTTCATTTTATCATTCAATAAGCTGGACGTGGACGTGATTATATTCGCACACAAAATAAGATTGCCCTTCGTTGACTTATGTACCTGTCCTTAGGAAAAAAAGCTTTGAGTTTGCGAGTCAGCAATCGGGTCACGTAGGCGGCCTCTGGCGTAAAACTGTGTATATCTAGGTGAGTTCATGAATAATGGTAGATTGTAATATCAGACTTTCTACTGCTGTCGACGAACATCGTAAATTTCCCACAGGTTTTCTAATCTAAAACATTTTTTTTCCTTACCCACACCGGCTGCCAGGAATCTCCCAATTTTTCTACCGAAATCACGACTGGAGCTCATTAATTTCATTTATGTTTTAAACCTCGAAGCAAATTGCTTTTCATAAATCTAACATTTATTACGTGAAGATTTATATACCTTCTACTATGACTTTAACATTTAATTTTAAATTAATATCAAAATGCATACATTGAGTTATAGTAAAATACGTTTTATGTTTAATAATAAAGTCTGAAGGAAGGAATATCAATATTGCTCTGCAGGATTCTTTGAATATTATGCGTCATTAGATATTCTTTGACGTCACAGACGTCAGCCTTTATTATAACAACGTGACAAGCCCATAGTAAGACTTCAATACCTATTTTGCTGTTATTTCGACATTATTTCCTTATGATGTTGCTTTGTAATAAACCTTTTATTTGATTTTACTCTCAAATCCTATTTATTCCTAACCAAAAGTGATTTACACATAATTATCAAATAAGTTGTATACTGAATGTTCAACAACTGCTCACAGCTGAATTAGCAGAGGTAGAAATCGTTGAATTAAACCTTTAATCCTTCGGGATATGAACGAGTTAACTAGTTAAGAAGCAAAAGCAATGAATGGAATTATTCAGAGAGCACGACTGCAATAACCGAAATTGCTGGTCGTATAAAAGGGAAAACCAATCTACAGTATTTTGAAGATGAAGGGTGGTAGTAATTGCTGCCATAAAGTGTGGTGTCCTCCCAGTTCCCAGCGGCCGATATTAAATTTTAGTGTAATCCAAACTTTTCGGACTTCAATTTCTGTTCATTTTCTTTTACACTTTTTACTTAATCCTACTAAGTGTTTCGAGCTATAAAAAGATTAAATTTTGCCTGTTCAAGTTACTTCATTGTCATTACTATTAGTTAATCGGCTCGACAAAGGTTAAGTGCCTTCATTAAATAAAATCTTGTTCTCTTTTACATTTTGATAAATTTAGTATATCAAATATTTAGTAAGGTATCCTAACTATTTTTGAATTATAAAATTCGAATTGCAATAGTATGAAATCAATAACTATTTATCTATACTATTATAATAAAGCGTAAACACACACTTCTTTGTTGCCTAAGATGTCAGCAATTACAGCATATTTTTAAATAATTATTTTTGTAATAAAAAGCCCTACACTTATGTCATGCTTAAGGCTATATATTTTCACCCCATTAAACATAGGGGTTAATATTTTGGATAAAAACCTTAATGTGGGAAAGAGACCATAAGTTGCTGCCAACATCAAGTAAGCAAAATTGCCATGGTAAGGTAATTGGTATTTTGACATTTGCAATTGACTATTTGACACATGTAAACAATAAAATAACATTTTCATAATTTTATACGGATGAAGTCGCAGGGGAACAGCTAGTTTATAAATAAAAGCCGAATAAAAGTCAAATAGAAGCATGAGATATACTTATCGGCAGTGTCTAAAATAAATTGATATATTGTTTGACGTTTCCAGTATTTTGCAGTAAACTATTTAAGAGATTAAAGCCATATATTTAGCTCGTTACAGACTAAAGCCGGATTATCCCCTGTTTCTGGAAAAGGTAAACGACTAGATGCTGCAAAGTTTTCGCGTCGTTAAGTCTCTGGACTTAATGGATGTATCGGTTTAGTGATGTTGTTTTAGTTAAGTTAAGTTTGTACAACTTAAATGTCAATAACGAAACAGTATCGTATTGCAAAATCATCACGATTCCTTTGTATTATATACACATGCGAGCTGTCGCCCGCAAAATTCGATAGCGCAAATTAGTACCACCCGTTGCGTCATTTTGACAGCGCGGATTTTAAAAAAAAAGTAGCCTTTAATTTGCCTATCCATGTCAGCTACCCTCCAGTGAAAGTCCCGTCAAAATCAGCACATATGGCCCGGTCCAGCCCATACAGACAATTTTTTTTTAAAGAGATTTTCGTGATCATCTACCCAAAATCTGGATTTTTTCTTTTGATGTTACAAATAGACACTCTTATTTTATTATATGTATAAAGATAGATATAGATTTACTAAACAACTAAGGTGGAGAGGAAATATTTCTCTTTCAAATAATACCACGCACGTGATATTTAATTTACTGCAGATATCTATGGAAGGTCATTTTGTTATTCTAACGGAAGTGTACGTACTAAACCAAAAGCTAATGTAAAGAAATGCACATTGTTAGAATGATTTGTGATTTAAGTCTGGGTAAATGCGGTCAATTTTAGGAAGCCGACAAAAGATGAGGCTCCGCATATAGAGCGGCGCTAAGCTGAACGATGAATAATGAACCAGTCCCATTTGGAATTCGACCTCAATTGTTGAAAGAACGATAAGTTCTCGTAGCGTTTATGGTAACAGTCTCGTATACGCTTTCAAGTATTGTATTACAATAGAGTGCTATCTCTATCTATCGGAATTGTTTCGCCGTTTCCTAATCACTTGCCACAATATTCTATTGAACTTCATCAAATATCCTTTGTAATTTACTTAGTTTTTTCTTATATTAAAAGGTGGCAAACGAGCAAACTGTCACCTCAATCCACCTAATTGGAACGCGATCGCTGCCCATAAACATCCGCAATTGCAGATGCGTTGCCTACCCTTAATTGACGGAGGAGGAGATGCAGGTACAGAGGATATTTCCCCTTCTTATGCGCTTCTTCTACCGTCAAATCCACCTTACCTTCCCA